GTATTGAGTGAGTGTGTTATATTATATTTATGTATTTATATATATATATATTTGTATTTATATATATATATATATATATATAATGAAACGGGTGAAATGTAAGGTAGTGAAAACAGTAGAAATAGGTATGTCATGAGTTGATATGTAAGATAATGGTAGAAAATGAGTATGTGTTGATAACATGTTATACATATAATTCACTATTAAAATATTGTTCATACCAGTAATACAACAGCTGAAACATCAAGTTCAGAAATATCACATAAGAATTATACTAAATAAAACAGTTATTTTACTCGTGGAAATTCAAATATCAATCATGAAATATCTAGCTCCAAAGCTATAAATAACAATCAGCACCAGTACTGTTCACAGTGTCATCAGGCAGACTGATCCAAATATCTAAAAACAATCTTAGAACAAGGCAGTGATAAAAGTAACTTTAATTTCTTACTGGTATGATAGCATTGGCCCCCTCCCCACATTTTATGCAAATCAATACTGCTAAATTTATGCAGACTGAAGTTTCAATAATTTGAAAATACACCTTAATACTAACAGTTACTAAACTTAATAAAAAAAAATCCATTTAAGTTTGTGTTGGAATGGAATCAAAAATAGTACCTAAATCACTTGAATGTCCCACCTGATTGTGACTGGAGCCTAAAGTGTAATATTTCTTTACAAGAATGTAACATATTGGTAAAAATTATGATAAGTCAAATATAGAATGACCTTGACAAAATGATTTACTTCTAAAATGTACCAGCACTAAAATTTTTATCAGTGTGCTAACTGGACTGGCCTATTTTCAACTGGAACAAGGTCTAAATGTGTTTTATAAACTTTAAAATTAGTAATATGAGATTCAAGATTTTCCCATAAGCATGCACATTAAGGTTTCTCTTTTAACAGTAAGCATTTTTTGTTTGAATATTCAGACGATTGAAACACAAGATTAGTCTGTAACAGTAAAATGTAAATTTATTTTAATGTCTTACCTTTAAACACAGCTTACTTTGATTAAAAATAACACAACTTACTATTGCTGTCTGTAATTTTTGAATATAAGTAAAACTGAGGCATGTAAAATTGTGAGTATAGGTTAGCATTACATAAATTTGGGTAATGGTTTCCTGTAAATTTAACTTGGTATAAAAATACTGCATAATATCATTAGGATTAGACCTACCTACTTAAGGCTTGGTGAGTAATGAGCCAAGTAAAGCATTGTCTTTATGAATGTATATTTTAATTCATCTCTCATACAGATGAAAAGTAGTGTAAATGAAATAGTGTAATACATGTCTGTATTCTATGAACCATCTGATAAATATAGACACTTACTGTGTCATTTTCAATAACTTACCAAATCAATCTACTACTTAGATGAGAACTAAAGATTAGCCTCTTAATGACATAGCTAATTTCATATACCAGAAGTATGCATTGGCGTAAAACTAAAACTTAAAATGTATTTGTAATATAATAGTCATGTCATCCAGTTCTGAATCAAGACCCTTCTCTTTTTGTTGATGATATAGTACCATTTCTGTCAGTTAGGGTTTACATAGTACATTTCTGTACATAGGGGGTAGAACCATTCAGAATAAAAAAACATACAGTACAGCTTCAAGGCTACCTTATAATTGCTATGAAGATTAGGATTAAAAGCTGTTATTTTTATGCACAAAATACAAGTGCTTTGTGGAGAAATTTTCATTTAGGAATCTGCTTCTGAACCTCACAATTTTCACAAACTTTCTTACATAGAAATGTCGTGTGACATACAATGCCTGTGTGTGTATATATATATATAAATATACATGTGTGTGTGTAATATGAAACATGATAAAAAATGTTTAAAATGTTTTTTTATTAATTTAAGATAAATATGAACACACACATACACATTAGTATAAATACCTGTTTCACGTTTCATATCTTCAAGGATACTTTTCAGTTTCCAAAGTAAGACACTTTTTTTTTTATAAGACTTGTAAGACTTTCAAATGCTTATATACAATATAATATCCATTTCATGTTAATTGTATGTTTTTTGAACATTGTTGAGTTTTTTTTAAAACGAATTTTAAGGGTTAATAAATTATGTTTTTTAAGATTAGTCAGGCATTCATAAAACATTTTTCTTTTATAGTCCTATCTGTTGCTTGTGGAAGACCTTGAACTCAAGATAAGTGGAAGATATTACTATCATGTAAACTTTATCTACAGCTACTTGAATATTGTAGGTTTTTTAAAAGGTTAATTCTCTCTGTGTTGAGGATGTTCTATGGTCTACAATAATGTAACACGAGTGCCTGTAGATGACATTAATGTTTTGTTTCAAACTCTTCAAAAGATAGGTAAACTAAAAATATTTGATACTTTAATTTCATTTTGTTTTTCAGGAACATATTGCTAAGTTTTTTAGAATAGTGTACTAAATTATTATAATAGTTATTAAATTGGATGGTTTTGGAATGAGTGAGTTTAAGACTAATGAAACTATTATCTCACTAACTCTTTACCTATATCACAGTCAGCCATTTATATATATATATATATTCTTAAGTTACTAACGGTAGCTTTTAAAGTCAGTTAATAATCAGTTTAAGGTTCAATTGTGATATGTACATTATTGTTTGTATACAAATTATATTTGTTCCTGAATACATTTAGGGACTACTTACTTATAAACAGACAGTTTCAATGTTTATATAAAAACAACACATTATATTTGTTCCTGAATACTTTTAGGGACTACTTACTTATAAACAGACAGTTTCAGTGTTTATATAAAAAATTATATTTGTTCCTGAATACTTTTAGGGACTACTTATAAACAGACAGTTTCAATGTTTATATAAAAACAAAGCTGAAAATTAATTAGTTGAATGTTATGTAAGGATTTAAGAACTGGATTAAAGAGTCTACTTTTGTTGTTTTTGGTACCTAGTAGATTTTTCAGTGCCAAAATAAATCATCTCATAACTTCTTTCTCAGGATGATTCAGAATTTGTTATTCAAAAAGTAATGACTGTAGAGTGTCGGTGGAAAGCTGAAATTCATGACAAACTTTTCCTCTTTACACAGCTTTGAACATTTTTATACCTTAGTTTTGGGTATGAAAACAAACAAAAAAAACATTATTCCATTTATATAGGTTTTTCAAAGTTTCATCTAGGGTCAGTCTGCAGTCTTTAAACCCATTGTAGTCTTTGAAAATTTGTCCTGTTTATGTTCTATAATGCTTAATAAACATAAAACACCAATTTTGTTATTAAAACTTTGTTAATTTTATGCAATACCTGTTAAATAAAGGTTCAGAAGTAAGAACATTAGTTAGAATACTTATGTATTCATGGGAAGTTGAGTTGCCTTGTTAGAAATACCTATATGAATCTCCGATTCTCTGCCATGACCTGTAAATGAATGTTTTATATTTTAATTATGCTAACATGATTAATAAACCATTTATTAAGCATACAAATAGCTGAGAATATTTATGTGTTGGGGGAAAAAAGTTTTTTTTTTCTTCAAAATGCTGTAAACTCATTAAAGTTCTGTTATTAAAGGTGGATAGTTCTTAGTTTTTTTTGTATGTTATGACTTTAAAACTTATTTTCCTTGTTCACATCTTTGAAAATAACTTTTAGTAATATTAAAGTTACATTTGTGTAAATGGTTGATTTTGATATTTCATTTTCTTACTGAAGCATATTTGCCTCTTGGGTAATTCACAAGTGATTAAAGTGGTAGTTTTTGAGATGATAAAGTTGTTTTTTAATATACATTAAACTAGGTGTATCACTGTTTTTCACACAAATAAGCTAGAACTCAAACGGAAAGTCATTTTAAATATTCAAAGTTGAATTTAGAGAGTGTCAGTAACAGTAATTTAGTTGTTTTAGAAAAAAAAAGTATTGTTTATCAATAGCACTTTGGGTGTTTGGACAAAGACAGGGTCCCAGGAACAGCTGTACTTTTTGTTAAATAACCTGAATTTTTTTTAATATAATCACGTTTAAAAGTAAAGAATAGAAATACTGATATACATTTAGTGAAGTCAAATTACTGTGGTTAAATTGGCATGCTTGTTTTCTATGGTCAATCTTGAATAAAAATTTTATCAGAGGTTTTATTCCAGCTCTTGTTTCTTTGCAAGAATAACTGAATCTAGAAGGGAAAATATAAATATTTTTATATTCAATTGACCATTTATACATAACGAAAGGTTATTAGATTTTAATTTCCCTATAATACTAAGCCAAAAAGTGAATTAATTTGTAGGGATGGGACGGATTTTGAATATCTGATATCTGATTGGACAGTAGATGTGTGACCATACATACTGGAAAAGCAACATAAGTGTAAGCTACCATTTCATTATAGCATAGTATTAAACTAATTACTTCATCATGTTTTGGAAAAATTGATGACGATGTAAATGATCTTGTGCAGTTTCACATGAGTGAGTGATCATTGTTGACCCTTTAAGGGAATGCATCATGTGGAAGCATCAGATAATGCTTTACACCCCCGACCCCTCCATTGAGACTTGTTTAGATTATGGTTGCTGTTGCAAGTGTGACTGTTACTTTACTCTTCTGATCCTCTCCATTGAGACTTGTTTGGATTGTGCTTGCAATTGTTACCACTAGTTGTGACCATTGCTTTACACCCCTGATCCCCCACTGAGACTTGTTTGAATTGTGCTTGCTGTCATTATCACTAGTATGACTGTTTGTGGCATACAGTTCAACACAGTGAGTGGGCATTATGTTTTTAAGGTTATGTAATGACTACCAGGACTTGCACTCTTTAATACCAGAGAAAATATACTACTATGTTTAAAAGCTAATATAAATCCCCAATGGCTAGATTATGCAATAGCTATCATATGTGACACATAAGCTGGTAGTATCCTGCCTGCATAATATTGTGAGGTAATCCGTTGATGGAAATGCCATATAATTATCAAAGTCATCACAAAGTTAATATTTGATTAGATCTGATAATATATTCCTATCTCTACTAATTTGCATATCTTAACTTTTGGTCAACAAATTGAAATTCTGTTGTTTTTAGTCATATTTCTGGTTTAATGAGCTACATTTATATGTACTACAGTTGTTGTTTTATATATGTTTAATGGTATTTTTGAACTGCTGTTTTACCCAACTCATAACTTAAAGGGGGAAATAAGAGTTTTTGCTACATTTGTGCTTTCTGTTTCAATGACCTTTTTGTGTGTGTTTCAGCTTGTTTTTAAATGAAATGATTTATATTTAGTTATTTTCACCCTTCTAAAAGATAGAAATGAAAACAATATATGTTGCATATTTTGTAGTAGAGTTATATTTGTTTTCATCTTCATGTGTTCTAACGTTATTAGCAGTAGGTTAAATTAAGAGATGGTAGCAAAATCTACAGTGCCATCATAAACACAAGTATATTGTATTAGAAACCATATGTCAACATATGCTTTAGAACTTATTACCACTTATTTTCTGTATTGGGTACCTACCAACGTGTTTGAGGGTTTATAACATTAAAATTTGTGTATCAGTGGGCAAAGCACAGAAAGTCCATTATGTACCTTCCAATGTTTATATGTAAATTGTGAATCTCTCATGGGTTAATGTTTTGTTTGGCCAAAAACATTATTTCATTATGACTTTTTCTCTTATCATAAAATATTGCAAAATATTATTTTTTTCCACTGACATTTTTTTTTTTGTCAAAGGAAATTAATATTTTTTATTTTGGTGGGAAATTGTTAAATATATTTATGAATGTATAATTCTCTCTCTTTTTTTTTCTCTCTGATCAATAAAGGTATCTGTTTGATGCTGTAATCAGTTTATATTGGGTTGCTAGAGATGGTGATGAAGTAATAACTAAATATAGAATACTGGAGAGCTGATTGACAATATCTGTTTTTGTATTTCGATGCTATTCTGTGTTTATTGCTTTGACAAGGTGTTTTTTTTTACCAGTAGACAGAATGGTTTTTGGAAAGGAATTTTGTAATCGAAAAAAATAAATACAGAAAATGTTTGAAATATATTTTTAACAGTTGCTCAAGTTAATACAACTGTTGGATTTTCATCACTATAAATAACTGTTTTATAGTTATCAAAATGCATACCAGTTTATGTCGTACTTTAAAAGATATGTCACATTATTTTAATACCTAATAATGACAACTGTTTAAAACAATAAATAATCCAAAACACTTACCAGTGAAAGAATATTGTTTTCACTTTTGTACTCTTCAACGGATTTTTTGAATATCATTTAACAACGTAAATGAAAAGCTATTAGTTATATGTAGGTATAACTATAGATGTGTATAGGTATAGATTTGATGTGTTAACGGAAGTTACCAATAAATGTGTGACAGGTGTTTATTATTTTTTGTAATGATTATGAATATATGCATATGAAAGAAGTTGCATTGCAGAAATAGAATTGATGCTTCCAGGAGTTTTTGTTACTCACGTGAATAACAAACTGGTGTTGTAATAAACATTATAAAACTTGTTGCCAAAAATACCTGTGTTTCTGTTACTTATAAATATTAACTTACGATATGTGCAAGCTACTTACTTGAAGCAAAACTAAAGATCAACCTGGTAATGAATGCAGATAATACATTTGTTTTACGTGTCTACTTATAAAGATTAGAATGCTTTGTTTCATCACTTAGGTACCATTCCTGGTAAAGATAATTCCAGTCATAAATATAATAATATCTAACAAGATTCGGACAGTTTAGGATATAAATTATGCTAGACTTAAGTTATATCTAGCTAACAACATAAAACCATCTCTATGATGAAAGTAATAGTATTATTAAGAAATAATAAAATTATATTTATTAAATATTCTAACCAATACTGTTAATGAAAGTAACAATAAAAAAATAATAGAGTATGCTTTAAAAACCATTAGTTTAAATTTTATTTTCCAAGAACGTGTAACATGCGATTTTCCAGAAAAGCAATATATATATATATATTTAAAGAATCAACTTTCTGACTTGAACAGAGAAATGTTTAAATATTAAAGGGCTATTTTAAAGTTATAGTAATAAATGTAATACACGAAAAATGTAGTAGTTAAATCTAGTGTGATTCAAACATAAGACGAATAAATAATTAAGAGCTAAAGAAAGTATACATCAAACTAGTTAATTTCTTATGGTAATAAGTCTGTGTTTGTTTCTATTTTTAATTTATTGCCCTTTTTTTTTTATAGAAGACAAATGATGTTATTTTATTAATTCCAATAACCAAATTAAACACTTATAAATACTAGCGCCTTTTGTTACCGCCAAAACAGAAATCGCACTCTTCATTTTAAGGTGGTGGGTAGTGTTAACAAACTGACTTCTCTGTAGTCAAGCACTTGGAGTTTAAGGACAGCTAGCGCAGATATCTCCCGAGTAGCTTTGCACAGTATTCACCAAAATAACACAAAAGAATCAATATTTATGCATAATTATAAATCAGACATGCTCGCCCTTTCAGCCGTGGGTGCGTTATAATGGTACAGTCAATCCCACTATTCGTTGGTAAAAGAGTTGGCGGTGGGTGGTGATGACTAGCTGCCTTCCCTCTAGTCTTACGCTGCTAAATTAGTGACGGCTAGCGCAGATAGCCCTCGTGTAGCTTTGCGCGAAATTCAACAAACAAACATTTAGTGAGCGACACTAACGTTATTATACAATCATAGTATTAATTCGATTGTTTACGCGTTTATTGTCGTATGCCAGATACACATGTAATGTTTTACAAATAAATAAAATGGTTTATTCGTCATTAAAGTATATGTTTATTAATTTTAGGAGATTTTCACAAATATAATAATTATAAGGATTTTAATTAGCTTGGAAATATTTAGAGGATTGCTATGTTGACTGATATTACAACTGCACAAAGTTATGTAATAAACATATATCAGTAACAAAGCAACCTAAGTAAAATGTGTTATTAAATTAAAAGTAGTAGTTTTGCAATTGTTTGATATTTACTGGTAGCCTAGACTTCAATTACAGCGTAAAGCAGAAATATTTGGTCTAAGATGAATTAGGTATTTTAATTTTCTTTTCAATAACGTATGGATATAGTCTGGTTTGAATTGTAAAGAAGAGGGAATACTTAATAGCCGCGGCTGTAATTAGATCTCAAATCAGTCAAGAGATGGAGCTATGAGCTAAACGTTTATACTTGAAAATAAGCTCGGAGCCATTCTATGAGCCGATATGCCGCGGCTAAAAATCAAATCAAATAGTAACTGATATCATATGAGGCTTGTAACATAAGTTTGTATTCAAATACAAATTTAATGACAAACAAATATTGACACTGTCACGTGAAATTTATCAATTCACTAACTTTTCTGCTATATAATATAGCATCCCTAACAACTTACTTGTAAATTTCTAAAACTTTATGTATCTTAACCAAAATTGTTAATACTTCAAAATTTTCAAGTAATTGTATTAATAACATTTCATATTCTAAATATTTCGTTTGAAATGGAAATTTTTTTTATAAAAATTGTGGAATGTTTCATGATTTTTATATTAGCTAATTTTGAAACGTTTAGATGGTTGCTACTTTATTCTGGTGACTGATTTGACAGTTGCGCAAAAGCACATAAAAACACTATCTTTTGAAGAGGACACCGTGCCCGGTCCCCTTTCTAAGCTCTTCATCACAATTCAATTACTGACACTGTTTTTCTAAAGCTAAAAAACTATTTTGACACATTTTGGTGAAATATAAAATGATGTATAAAAAATAAACAATCAAACTTTTGGTTTTGTTAGTTTTATCGCAAAGCCGCACAATATGCTATCTGCCATTTGTTCACCACGGGGAATCGAACGCCGAATTTTAACGTTGTAAACTTACTTCTGAACCACTGGGAGGCACGTAGTGTCGGTACACTGCGAATAAAATGAACAATGAAAAGTAAATGGTTGTGTTTTATACTTTATCAAAGTAGAGATTAAGTATAAAAAAATATATATTGTAATATACATATAAACGCATTAAACAACTTCTAATGTTAATTCATAACTATGAATATAACAGAATGGAATCCTTGATAAAGGTTTTTAAATAATGTGCTTACGAATGGCTAAGCACAATGTAATATATATTTTATGTACAGCTGAAGCTATAAATATATATATAAGCAGTAGCAGCTTTCTTACCTTTTTGTATTGTACACATGCGTAAATCGAGTGCAACAAACTTGAAATATTATTCTAGCTATGACGTAGCATACGTTCAAGTTAGATTAACTTTTAAGCCAAAAGAATTATCATTAGTATAGACTTAGCTCAGATGATTGATAGTTGTGCATAGTTCTAATGCTGATTTTCGGCAAACTGAAACAAAAATTGAAAAATTATGTTTTCACGTTTTGTAATATACGATTGTGCGGCTCGTGTACGATAACGTTTATTTGTATGTATTGCAATATCTCAAACTTGTTTATTTTGAATACAATCCTTATTTTCATACAAATCAAAATGGTAAAGTTACTTGAAACTCTGGTACCAGTTTATTGCTACAAGGTTTAATACGTGTATTTACATTTAGATCATTTAAACTTGAATGAAACAAGCAGTTTGAGTAGCACATGATCAGACCAACCTTTGATGTGAAGACGTACCTTTCAATTATGTTATGAATTTTGGTAGTAAGCAGTATGGCTGAAGATGCGATGATGGTTAGACATTTTCTGCGTCATTTTGGTTAGTATGATTCTAAAGTTTATAATTTTGTGAACCAAACATTTCTATGAAAAAAAACCCACCAGTCAGAACTTACAAAATGTACGAACGATGTGCTAAATATCTTATATGAGACAAAACATTGAGTATTGATGTATAACAGGTGTGTTTCAACTTATTTAATATAAGTCGATGATAATTATATTTTAAAATAATAAATTACAAACATTATAAAGGGTGATATTATACAAACACAATTAAACATCTAGATTATAAACGTTAGTATCTCTAAAGGCTATAATATTTGTTAGTATAATTTACAATATTTTTACCATACAGTTGTTGTAAGCTATATTTTCAAGGCTTCAATTTAACTGTTTTGTCATGTTTGTTTGCTGGAAGAAGCTAGTCATTACGTCATGATCTGGAAGCTTCCAATACTATGTAGAAAACGAGTAATAATATAAATGCCAAATAGTTATTGGGTGGAGTATTCATTGAATGAGATATTCAGTTCAATGTCAATTAGACAATGAGAGTTAGTGCATCTGTTCTTCAGTAAGATAATCAATCAACTAGTCGATCATTAAGTGAGGAAATTCCACAAGTAAGTTAGACTTGCGTACCATTACTCTCAGAATTTCTGATGAAAGTTGTTTGTAAAGTCAGGCCTACAAGTGAGTATAGCCTGTACTGTAGCAAACGTTATTGAAGAAATAATTCCTTATAGTTACGTGATAGAACACGTTATGACACTTTGAAGTAAAACGGGGAGTGAAATATGCTGATTCGTACAGAAACGTGTTGAAAAAGTGACAAAATGTTTTTTCTCATAACAAACGTTTTGTGTATAGTATATATTTAATATGTTCAAGCAGTAAATTATGTTAAAGTATCACAAACTGAAAATATTGGGTGATTTGCAAAAACAAAAAAAACAACATTATTATAATTAATGTCGTGTGTCAATAAATCTTTGGAATCTAAGAATTTTGTAATTGAGACTTATTCATACGAGAAGGCAAACTTCAATCTGGTTCGAAGACATTGAAATTTGATGCAATCCGATTGTTTTATGTCGAGTCCCTCGGTGGATAAGCGGTAGCTTTCCAGATTTACAATGCAAACATCCATGGTTTCATTGGACAGAGAACATATAGTCTATTGTGCATTTTTGCGATAAAAATTCCAACGACAACAATCTTTTATGTCAAATGTTATGTGGATTTTACAGGCTATAAATTAGAAAACATATCTAACGTCATTTGATTTTGTTTCCTTTTCCTCTTATGTAGTCAGTTAGCAACGTTTCCTGTTGACAACGGGAAGTAGTATTTAACTTCATGTACCCTTTTATGTTAAGGATAACGTGATCTTTGCAACCAAAGATATGACTTATTTTTTTCAAACAATCTGTATTTGTTATAATTAAGAATGGCGTCGCCTGTTTCACAAGCTAAATAAAGCTAATTTTAGTTTCGCCGAAGGAAAGTTGTTTTAAAGGGAGTAAAACATTTAGCATTGTGGTGTTTCTAATACCCAAAATAAACTAAAAATAATTCAACTTAATTAGGTTTAAGCTAATCTTAATAAATGTCTTCTTGTCACACTTTTTTTTTTAAGTAGCAATTACTGAAAACATATTTCATTCATCAAATAAAGAAAAGGAGTCAATACATAAGTAACATTCAAAACAGATTTCGTTCCTTAACTAAATCAATTGAGTCAATAGAAATCCCTGAAAAACAGATTTTGTTAATCAAATAAATCATGAGAGTCAAAGAAAAGGAGTCAATACATAAGTAACATTCAAAACAGATTTCGTTCCTTAACTAAGTCAACGGAGTCAATAGAAATCCCTGAAAAACAGATTTTGTTAATCAAATAAGTCATGAGAGTCAAAGAAAAGGAGTCAATACATAAGTAACATTCAAAACAGATT